GAGCTACAGAGACCTGTTGATGAGCAGAGGGGGAGGAGCTACAGAGACCTGTTGATGAGCAGAGGGGGAGGAGCTACAGAGACCTGTTGATGAGCAGAGGGGGAGGAGCTACAGAGACCTGTTGATGAGCAGCGGGGAGGAGCTACAGAGACCTGTTGATGAGCAGAGGGGGAGGAGCTACAGAGGTGTGGATGAGCAGAGGGGGAGGAGCTACAGAGACCTGTTGATGAGCAGCGGGGAGGAGCTACAGAGACCTGTTGATGAGCAGAGGGGGAGGAGCTACAGAGGTGTGGATGAGCAGAGGGGGAGGAGCCTCCTCTAAAGTGTTTTCTGCTGGGAGGTCTCACCGTTCATTAGGAACCAATCAGAGCAATCTGTTTATAGTTTTAACAGCTGACACAGAAATAATAAAAGACTTGTTAACACAGGACCTGTTAACGTCTGTACTCACCATTAAAAACAAACTGGTTCAAAGGTAACAGATGTTTGTAATACTTAGTGTTTTTACATAATAAGTGTATTTTCTGGATGTTCGGCCCCTCAGCTGTAGGTCTACAGTAACGGTGGTCCTCAGAGTTCAGGTGAATAACCTGGTCTAGTGTTTCTGTTCCTACTCATGTGTTTGAGGTTCTGACCCCAGTCTTAAACAAACCTACAATCCCTCCATGTCTTTTCCTCATCAGGTTTGTTTCATAGCCATAGCAAAGCCAACCTTACCTGAGCTGCTCCTGACAGGTAACATCTGCTTAGTTAGTCATCAAGTCCCTACGGTCTGACTGCAGAGATCCTGCCTTCCATCAATCAATCAATCAATCAATCAATCAATCAATCAATCAATCAATCAATCAATCAATCAATCAATCCATCCATCATCCATCCATCCATCAATCAATCACACTCTGATGCTACATGTTCTTTAAGTGTACACTTCCTGTGTTAGCTCACCTGGACACGGTTGTATTGTTAGTTTATTTATCTGACTTGTCAGCAGGTTATCTTACCTGAATAAAGTTACCTGTGTTCTGGTGTTTACCTGTCAGGTTGTTGTGTGTTATTTAGCTGTTAGCATGTAGCTCACCTGAATAAAGTTACCTGTGTTCTGGTGTTTACCTGTCAGGTTGTTGTGTGTTATCTAGCAGTTAGCATGTAGCTCACCTGAATAAAGTCACCTGTGTTCTGGTGTTTACCTGTCAGGTTGTTGTGTGTTATCTAGCAGTTAGCATGTAGCTCACCTGGATGAGGTTATCGTCGAAGCCTCCCCACGCTTCCGTGTTCGTGGTTCTGGATCCAGAAGACATGGTTCTGGTGTGGCAGAAATCCGGGTCACAGAGTTCGGCTGTCCGGGTTTCTGACCCACTTTAACTGGACTCGAACCGAACCGGTCGATTTGATGTTTTTCCTGTTTGTTACACAGCAGCTGGCTCCGCCCCCTTTGGTGACATCATCCTGATGGAGGTTCTTCTTCTTCTTCTTCTTCTTCTTCTTTAGATTTTAGAGGATCAGAAACAGCCTGAAGACGCACACCGCCACCTGCTGTCCATGAGTGTAGTTACATTAAGTCACAGCATTTAAATTATATTTTTAAATGTTATCATGTAGATAAGAACTGTTTTCCTTTCTTTATAAATATGTTTATGATGTTTATGTTTCCTTCTCTTCCAAATATTCCTTTCAGACTCCATTCCTGACCTGCTGTTATTACAATGAACTTGTCCCTTTATGGTTCAGATAAACTCCATGTATACGTCACAGTTCATCCTTCATGTTCTACACCTTCTTTCCCTCCACATCCCTCACATTAACATCATTTATTTGCTCCCAATTAAACATAAAATGTCATTTAGAGAGGTACGACCAACACCATTATTTTTCCTCCTGTTTCTCACCAACAGTTTTAATTAACACTAACTTCTGCATTGGGTTGCTCAGTGGTTCAGTTGGTAGAGCTGGCACCTCTCAGCAAGAAGGTTGTTGGTTCAAATCCCATCCCAGGGACCTTTCTGGGTAGAGTTTGCCTGTTCTCTCTGAGTACTCCAGCTTCCTCCCACAGACCAAAACCATGACTGTTAGGACAACTGATAACTCTAAGTTGTCCCTCTGTGGGAGTGACAGAGTGAAAGGTTGTGTGTCTGTGATGGACTGAGACCTGTCCAGGTGTAACCCCGCCCCTCACACTGGGACTGATGGATATGGACACCAGTGACCCTGAAAGGAAGCAGAGGGTACAGATGATAGATGGACTTTTGTATTTTATTTAAATACCTTCCTTTTGCATATTCATTCCACCTTAAAAAAGGAATAATAAAAGTTATTGTCCCCTCCACAGCCCTTTTAGCTAATCTGTCTGCAGTTTCTTTGCCTTTGACTCCTTCATGTGCAGGTACCCAACAGAACCAAATATGGATCTGTGTGTCCTGAACAAACTGTGCTGAATTTAAAATACTAAATCTTCCCTTTTATTTATTTTTTCCCTGTTTGGACGGCTCACCACTAGTTTGTCTTGTGGTTACATCCCCAAACTAATACCCAGTAGACTGGGAGGGTTATGGCCCTGAGGACAGGTTGTGTGTCCCCATCTTTTATTTTACACTCCAATCCCACCTCAGATTATTTTAGAGCTCACCTGGACAAATGTTTAGGATCACCTAGAGGCGATACTTGAATACTCGAAAGAGTTACCTGTCAACACAGGACAACTGGCTTTTTCAAAACGACTTTTAAAACTCACCACAAGCAAACAAAAATCACATTTATTCCTCAAAATAGTCCCATGGAGACCAGACTCTAAGCAGTTTGTCTGATAAAAGAACACTGAGATGTTAACCAGAGCCAAAATCTGACATTTAAATGTGCAAAGATTAAAAGACAACAACTCCTTTTGTGAAAAGGACCCTTCTTTTCTCTGAAGGGTTAAATCTCCAACATCCCACTGTGTTAACAC